GAGTTATAAACGAGTGTTCAGCACTGGCATAGGAACAGTATCATCTGAGGTCCAGATAGCTTAGTGGGTAGAATGCAGCATGGATAGCATCTATAACTTAGTCATCTAACACCGCATTGATGTTTTCCCAGCATCTGCCACTTAAGGTAGCCTGTCACTTTACCTGATGGAAAAATAATAGCACAAAAGAATAGCACAATAGTAGTAGAAAAAGAATGGACAAGTCTTTGAAGAATTATCTTACATGGTTAAAAATTAAAGGTTTCCCCAAGTGCAAGGACATGATGCAAGGAGACAGGAACAACCATGACAGTATTTACTAATTTTAAAGCATCAAATTAGTGTTCCCAAGCTACAGAAGTACCTCTACAGTGGTACAGCTTCTCAAGTAGTAATAATAATACAAGTGTACACTACAAAAATAAGTAAGCAAATTTATTAAGGAATAAGCTCCACTAAATATGGTGGGGCTTGCATTTGTGAGTACAAGTGTAAAGTATTAAACAAAAATGCACAGTACAGTGCTGTAAAATTAAAGGACCTGTAATAGGGAATATTTTTGGGGGGGAGTGGTGGTGATATAACAGGTACTGCCCAATAGGAGCCTGTGACAGTGTTGCAAAAACATTTCCAACATTTTAGAATTTAAACATTAAATTCCTTTCTATATATTCTTTTAATCAGTCAAAATGTGGTGTTGTGGCTGCCCTACAGAGTTTTTCCAACTGCTCATGAGGTTGTTGTTCAGATTTCTTTAAACTAGACTTACCTGGCCTCAAAAAGCCCAATAAAAAGCCTGGAAACACAGGAGGAGGAGATGCTCACAAACTTCCTTGATAACAAGAGCACCTACATACCTTCCGTAGAGAAGCCTCTAATTACACATGTGGTTTGCTGGCCCAGCATTATTCAGAAACTATTTTAGAATATGGATCCCCTGGAATATGATTAGAAAATTCAACTAAATATCATGAGCTACAAGTCATTGGTATTTTCTCATCCTGCCGGATTCAGAAAGACCACACTCTAAAGCCCTCTTAAAAATCAGAGCAAGAATGGTCAAACAAAACTTAAGGATTTCCATTACTCTTCCAATGGGAAAGAGCACATGCCCACCCAGTGTTTTTATTGCCCTCATTCACTGCTGTGCAAATACCCTTCTCTTGATTTCTTGTACACTGAAATGTCTTCCTGCTAAAGCCCTTCTTTAATGTGTAAGATACATTACAAAGTATTGCTTTTACAGCTCATTAAGTTCAGAATGACAAATTAGGCAAATCTAACTCATTTTTAATTGTAAGCCTTGCTGCATTTCTGCTTCTCACACAGGGGAGTTTCCTTAATTCATACTGTTTTTCTAATTAATCATGACACAGTTTACTTTTATCTGGAATAGAACTACTATGGAGTGATAAAGTTGTTAAATGAAATTGGCAAGGCCAACAAGAAACTTAGTTCATACATTTGATTTTTGTTAGCATGATTCATATCAAAAATGCACAGGATTTTATAGCCTGCAGTTTCTGTGAAAATAAACATATAAGAATTCACAGCTGGTTCCACAAAACAATTCTTGTTCCTTTACTAGATGGTAAGAACAGAAAAGGAAAATATATAACCTACATTTACCTTTAGGAATATTTGAAATAATTTGGTTATCATCCTGATCCTTAGCTCAGGGTATTTTGTTAAAATAATCTTGATCCCAGCACTGTGAAGGACACGTCTACTAACATTTGAAGAAGTAAACTGTTGGTGTGATGTGAACTTCTCCAAAGCCTTTGAGATTTGATTTCTGGAATCATTCTGCCCATTCAGAATTACCCATGGGCCACAAATATGATGAAAAATATTGGCTTCGAGGTCTGGTCAGGAAATTGTCAGTTCAACAGTCAGAAAAACTTTAAAACTGTCAAATTGATTAGGCAACCAACTCTGCAGTTTGGAGACACATCAACTTCAGTCAGCTTTTAGAAATGCTAACGTTAATAGTGGGCAGTTGGCCCAGCGTGTTCAAGGTGACCTGTCATCTATCCCTTTCAAATTACTCCAACGCATACACTTTGTGTCAACATAAAACTCCATGACTTTCTTAGGGCATCTCTTTAATGGATAAAATATAATCTGCCCAACGGAGGAGATACTCCTTGGCAGGAGGAACAGAAGCTACAAAGGCACAGGTGAGCACCTGCAATTATAAAAGGCACAACATAGGCTCAAAATCATGTGGTGCTTACTAGCCATTCTTCCCATTTATTGATTTCAGTATCTTAACTCTGTGATAGCATACAATTTATACAGAGGTAAAGATGTCAGAAATCAAATTGAAATCTGCTCCTGAGAACATGTTACCTGTTCAGTTCTTTCCTAGGCCTGGAGTTATTTAAGGGGTTTCTCTCTAAGCCTTGCAAGTCTTCATCCACCATTGCATGGGTGAGTTTAGTATCCCAGGTAGATAGTCTGTACTGTAATGTACACATCAGTAGTCCTACTGACTCACTATTTTACAACATTGATACAGAGTACCTGGTCTAAAATGTTCCCAAATTTCAGCTTCCTACCTTTTATTTTTTTAATAAAAGAAAAATTAACCTATTGATTTTGGGTGATTTTTGTGACCCCAAAAACAAGGTCCTGAAAAAAGGAACAAAGTACAGTTCAATTCAGATCACCCTGCTCTCATTTTAAAGCTAAGGTTATATGCTAACACCTACAGCAAACAGAATGAAAATCTATTGTGCTATGATTTTTTAAATTAATAGGGGAAACTATTGTTATGCAGAGAAAAACAAATGGAGCTGCTTTTTGTTTCAGTGGGACTTACTTGCAGGTGTGTACCATACTACACTCTAAATGTTTCGTCCACACACTCCCCTACCTCATATTGCCATACCTGGCTATAATACTACAATCTACTATGGGACAAAAACAGTTAAGCAACGTAAATTATTGTTTAGTGAAGGTGAATTTGGAAAAGAAATTGACTTTGAGAAAGTGATTAATAATTTTGAAAAAAGGGACAGATTAATAAAACTTTAGAATAAATGGATCTATTTATAAAATGTTTCTAACTGTATTGATCCATTAGAATAATAAAAACACCAACAGGACAGCATCTTTATTAGACCAATCAAAAGGTTATAAAATAGTCAACAAGCTTTATAAGACATTTGTTTCATGTTGACTGCAAAAAGGGGTCTATTTGAAGCCTGAAAGAAAAAAAATCAAGTGTGAATCATGATGCAAGTTAAAAAAAAATGGAGAATTAAAGCAGAAAAATTTCCTACATTAGCAACAAGACTGTATGTATGGGATGAGACTAGAGCAGGGCTCCTCAAACTTTTTAACCAGGGGGCCAGTTGAAAGGTGCCAGTGCTGGGTGCGGGCTGGAAAGGTGGTGTCAGGTGTGTGCGGGGCGGCGTGTGTGGGCACGCATGCTGAGGTAGGGGCAGGGTGCATGGTGAAGGGAGGCAAGGCCAGGGTGGACATGCGCTGCGAGATGGGTGCACGGGGCAGCGGCTTGCTCGCTTGGAGATTGTTTTCTCCTAGTGACCAAACCGCTGCCTCCCCACGCGGGGGGTGAGGTGGGCACGCACATGGGCGCAGGTGCCCACGTGGTAGGTCCAAATGGGCATGGTGGGCCAGATAAATGGGCATGATGGGCAGGATCTGGCCCCCAGGCCATAGTTTGAGGACCCATGGAGTAGAGCATACATGTAGAAGGGGGCCATGCTGTAAGTTTGTAGTGGGCCACATAGTATGACTGATCCCTTTAATTATAGCAAGAAATCTACAATCAACTCCAGTACATCCCTGAGAAGAATGTTATTGTGCCTACGTATTGAAGAGGTATATTTGTCCAATATTGGCAGTATGGTTAAGTTGCAAGACCATACATTTGAAATAAGAGGCTTTAAGAGGGAGTGGAAAAGGATTGCTTTCTCTGTGTGAGTTGAAAAGTTACTAATATGTTTTAGCAAGCAGTGTCTGACAGGAAGCTTATCTTTCCACAGTAACCACAATAACTTTATTTATTATCATAACAATACATGTCCACATGAAATTGGAAGGAAACAAGTGATCCATATAGGGAAAGCATAACATAGAAAAGTTTCTTTACACACTGTAGTACCTTTATCGATATAATGCTAGCAACTTGTTGGATGCTTGTTAACGAAAGGTAGACTTGTCAAAGGCAACTACTTCATTATAGAAAAGAATTGTACAATAAAGATAAGGATAAAAATCCCAAAATATGCCACACCTACATGCATACCAAGTCTGTTTTGTTCTCAAGCCAATAGTTTCTACCTGCAGCATTTTAGAAACTCACAATAGTTCCAGTATTCCTGTGGTAAGGTTCAGGGGCATGCTAAAAGAAAGAAGTTTTGTAACAAATACATCCCTTGTTCGGGCATAAACAGCTGTCTGGAACACTTCCAAGGTCTGTGATCCCAACATTTACTGCAATGTAACTTCACTGGTTTTTGAAGTATAACTTTTCAGATAATGTAGTTTGATGTTGTGTCAAATATAAAATCAGATTTAGGTAATCTACTGTGATTTACCATCTCAAAAACAAGATACCCTCTGAGAGTCCTAACTACTTGCCCAATTCACAATCATTTTCAGTGCATGACAACAGTACTACAACAATCAACTAATTTAGTAGTTGCTATTAACTGGTTAACCTTTATGTATTTAACTGTGCAGGAAAACTATAAACCACATTATGTACTCTGTATTTTGAGCACAATCAATAGAAAAATTACATTGCGAAACTTATCTTTTTAAATTATATGCATTCATGCTGCATTTACTAGCTATTTAAGGTAGTTTATTTAACAGATGGTTGGACCTCAATGCAACTTAGCTTTCTATTAGAATAAGGCTATAATGAATTTCTACTAATAGTAATATATAAATGGACTAGAAATAGTGATACAACGAAGGCATCCTGAAAGCACAGCAGTGTAGTCTGTATACTGTGGATCTATTTTTTAGAGTTTCTTCTTCAAAGAGGCAGGCATCTCAGGTGGTGGGGGCCGAGGCAGCTTGAGATAAACCTTAACTGAGTCATAGATGAACCACTGCAGTGCAGTGAGGGTGCCAATCATCAGGATGCGGGTGAAGAGGCCTTTCCAGATGCCATATATGCCCAACCTCCTGAGGACATCTATGGCAGTGCTTCCCTTTTCTTTGTTCAGCACAGACACCACAGAATCAGCTGGGTGCGAGACTACAGCACAGAAGATGCCAGCAATATATCCACCAACAAAAGTAACTCCAAGTTGTTCCATCTTGCTGCACTTATCCCGTGGCTTTGGTACGACGTATTTATAGAGAGCTTCTACAGTTCGTTCAAAGCAGGAAAACTTCATCATAGTATAGGGGATCTGGCGCATCCAGAGTGGAGCCACACCCTTATAGAAAGCCCATAGTCCTTCTTCAATGTACATTTTGGGAGCTGCTTCCCTCAGCGTGTTGGCATAGCCCTCTTGGGTCTGAATTCGTACCTTTACTGCTTCCATTGGGGCCAAAGCAATGTCAGCAAAGAACTCAGCACTGGCTGAAGCAGCAAGGTAGATGCTGGTCCGCCACAAATAAGCTTGTTCTGGACCCAGCAGGTCAGAGTAATGTATCTTGAAGAATTCATAGAGACCAAACTTGCCAAGTCCTTGCATGGAATAGCCTATGGCTGTTGGAGCCCATCCTTTGACCAGACCACGAGTCCCCTCCTCTTGCACTGTGAGAGTAAGGCCTTGCACAAGTCCCCGATAGCGTTTAGGTTCCACCTGCATGCGGCACTTCACCACATCCAGTGGCACCACAGCCGTGTGTGTTACACCACAACTCAGGAGACCACCCAAGGAACACAGCAGCAGATACGACAATGACCCATACTCACAGCTATGCTCCTCATGTCCCACGGAAGGGTTCTTCTGTTTGTCTGTAGAAGCTGCTGACAGAGAGAGTGTTTTGTGCAGAGAGGTTAGACAGCTATCTATGGAAGGCTGTGTATCCATTTCCCTGCACTTGCTTGAGCCCTTGCACTGAGAGGGGGGCAAGTCACTTCCACTGCTGTTTTCATCTGAGCTCCAAGAATTGGGGCAAAGAATTGGCCAAAAGTGAGAACAGAGCTTAGAGTGGGGATGCATCCTGCACTCGGAGGCCTCTATTTCCATTTCATCCTGGCTGCTGAGGTCCTTGTTCTGGATGCCGCACCTTCTAAGGCTCCAGAAAAAAAAGGCAGCTGTTCCCCGTAGCCATGAAATGTGCTGAGAGGAGGACAACCTAATGCTTCTTGTCTCATTCTTCCCAGAATGGCACTTGGGCTGCTCTCCAGGAGGACAAGGCATATCTAAGTGACACAAAAGGCCTGGGTTGAAGCTGTTGCTGCTTTCCCAACTGCCAGTAACCTCAACAGTTCTTCTAAGCATAGAGATTCAGGCTAGAGAGGACTGACTCACTCATAGAATAGCAGTAACTGTAACCTGCCACTCTAGCCTGTTTCAGACTGGGCTAGAGTACTTTGCAAAATGGAGTGAGGCCCGGGTGGGCAAAATATGCCTGGGGTGAGGTATTAAATATATGCGAGATTAAGGATTAGCAGTAGCTATGTTGCCACAAGGAAGAAACGTACAGTAATAATCTTTCAACCTTTGTCCAGTGAGTAGGTCACACATACCCAGTTTCTAAGTGCAGCGATCAATTAAAATCACAGTTTTCTTATTAATTTAAATCATCGGTGGAAAGCTATTTCTCTCTTCCTCATATCCCTTGGAAAGTTACTGAACATGCATATGCATCTGGATTCTCTCGGGTCAAAACTTTGATAGGTCAAAGGCGGGGGTGATAGTGACCATACGTCGCTTGACCTTAATTAACTGCCACTCCTCGAAAGGATGGATACAAATTAAATTCATAAATATAATTCGTTAATGTTAATCTTGAGAAAGGCAAATTGTTTGTGAGAATGCATTCAAAATATAGTGCTGGGAAGAAGGGGAAGCATAATGGGAGCAAGTTTCAGGATACAAGAGGGAAATAAGGAAAGAGATATTCGGGTTACAGAGGTGGCTGGAATGGATTTTGTAGTAAATGGATTACCATCTACATACATTTGTTTTTATTTAAATTAAAATAATAAACGTTGTGCCTTGCCATTAGATTTCTTAATACAAACCTGTATGCACAGTTGAGGATTATAACATACTATATGTAAAACTGGCCATGCACTTACACAGGATTTGACCCTCCAAGCTAGGACTGGCCTTGTCCTTAGGCAAGGAGAGGAAGGATCTCTCTCTCTCTCTCTCTCTCTCTCTCTCTCTCTCTCTCTCTCTCTCTGATATTTATTATTGATTCTTACCAACTGTATACTGTCTTTTCCCTCCAAAAAGAGTTGCCCCAAAACAGGAACAAAAATAACAATTCATAATGAAAAAACATAGTAGCATGCAAAACCAAGCACATAATGAGCCAAAACTAGCAATCAATAAATTTTGATCACTAATTTTGCATTGTTGTTTTCTTGGTTTTCACATGCTACTCTAAGTGGGGTAATGGTGTTTTCATGGTGAATAATCAGTCAGACTGAGCTGCTGTTGCCTAATCTGTTCATTTTTGTTTAAATATGGGAGCTCTTGGTTCAAGCATTGCCTCCTAAGTACATTGTGGGGATAGCGTTAGAGGACCCACTGAAGTGGAAGGCCTGACTCCATCGCACTATGTACAGAAATGAGAAAAGGTATACATTTGAGATAGCCTTGTAAGGCAGAAAGTTATGTGTTATACTATATAGTTATGAAATATATAGAACAATCAATCAATGCATTCTCTAAGGCAAACAGAGTAGGTGTTTTCCCCATTAGGTGCTGCTAAAAAGTTAAGGTATCAGATGTGAGAAACTAGAGCTGTAAGAAATGAAAATCCTTGACTGTGCTTATGATCCTCAAGACTCAACCACTAGACAGCTTGCTGCCAATAAAAGCCTTAGGATTATAGATATTTAGAAAGGAATGTCACAACAAATGTAGGCCCTAGTTCCAGTTTTAACCATGTTCCCTTATTTTCAGTCTAGCCCCATCCTGCAGATGTTGCCACTGCTGCTTTTACTTGTCCTTTTCTCACTTGTATTTGTTTTCCATCTTTAAAGCAGACCTTGAAATCTTTGAGAACAACCCCTCTTACCTCTTTCCATTTCACTGAACTTGCAGCTCAGTCAGTTTATTTCTAACATCACAGTTTTCTTTACAGTGCTTTATTTTTAAAGGATTAACAAACATTCAAGAAGAAAACAAAAGTTAAGTTTTCAAAGTTTTCAGAGAATCAGTATGGCATAGAAGACTGGGATTCAGGAGATCTAGGTTTTAGTCCGACTTGGCCATGAACCTCACTGAATGATTTTGTGCCAGTCACGGACTTTCAGTCTAACCTACCTCATAGGGTTGTTGTTGTGATGCTAAAATGGAAGAGAACCTCTTAAGCCACCTTGGGTCTCCTGTAAGAGGAAGAAAGGTGGGATATAAATGTGATAATAAAAATGGTTATGATATATTAGACGTCCATAAAAGATTCTAGACAACTACGCAGCTCTTTCATTTCCTTATACCACTGGCTTAAGAACCAGCAAACTGATGCCTTACAAAAATGCCTAACAGAACAGTGGCTGAAAGTAGGTATGATTTTAAAGCAGATTGTTTGTCCTGCTGAAAGCAGCGAAAAGCTATAGAAGGCAATGCCCAAAGGAGACTCTACTGCATAGATCAATTTCTTCAACACTACAACCCTTTATTTATTTATTTATTTATTATATTTATATTCCATTGCAAGGAACCCAAAGCGCCTTGCACAATTCTCCTCTTCATTTTCTCCTCATAACAACCTTGTGAGCTAGGTAAGCTGAGAGTCTTGTGACTGGCCCAAGGTCATCCAGTGAGCACCATGGCTGAGTGGGGACTAGAACCCAGATCTCTTGAGTCCCAGCCCAGCACTCTTTATCAGTAAACTGGCTCTCCCAGAAGAAGTTGACCTTTGGGTAACAGTTGGATCCTGAGCTGTTCTTCATCAAACAGTATTTGATATAACCAGTGCTTTTTTGTAAAAAAAAAAAAAGTTTCCGGAACTCACATCTTGGGGTCACACCTTTACACTAAAAAAGATTTTCAATTCACCAACTTTTTTTGAAATAAAGAACTTATTTACCTTTTGCACGTAGCCAGTCACTCTACACTCACATAAACATAATGGTCGCCGCTGGCAGTAAGCACTCAGCATGCAACCACACACACCAATCCCAAGACGAGCAGCGTCCCAAGCCGAGCAGCGCTCTCACAATCAGCACGGACACAGAAGCAGCCTGCAGGCACTATTTTAATGATTTTGCTGCTGACCTGCTACTCCCGACAGGCGATTCAAAATCACTTCGTAAAATCCATTGGAAAAATCCGTCAAAAAAAGGTGCCGGAATGCTGTTCCGGTGCGTTCTATGACAAAAAATGCCCTGGATATAACTTCATTTCTTTTTATGGTATTACAGAACGTTGACTGTTAGGCAGTCTAGAAAGTGAATAAATAAATAAGAATTGGAGCAGCTAAATTATTTTATACATGATACAAATCTTTTTTTTCCCTTAAATGGTGAATTGTTCAAGGTATATTTTATAGAATCCATTACCTTCACAAGACAAAGCCCTACATTCTTGCACATTCCAGAAGGGTAGTAACATTAGTATTTAACAGTGTCCATACCAAATTAATGCTAGCAGCACTTCAGGTTAGTTGGTGTATTGCTGCACAAGCTTTTATGGGTATTGTCAGAAAACATTTTGTAGACAGTAGGGTGTGTAACACAGAAAGTAACCAACAGCTATTTAGTCCATATAATGCATTTGTTGAAGTATGCTTTTAGTAAGAAACTAATATCCACAACAGTTAATTGAGGACACAATCCTATACATGTTTAAATCAAAATATATCCTACAACTCCCCACATTCCTCAGATAGCATGGCTGGTTGAGGAATGCTTGGATTTGTACTGCTTTTCCTAAACATGCATGGAATTGCATTATGCATCTGTCTTTAAGATGCCAGAGAATTAGAGATTTGCTGCATGGTTGCACAAATCTTTAAATATTTTCAGATTGAGAATGAAAAGATGGGAATTAGAAAACACTAGCCAAAATCAGTGTAGGCACTACAGTCTAAAATTATGAGAGGACTCCTGGAGATTTCTGTGAAAATTCAGTAGAATACCAGGAAAAATTAAGCCTCAGCTACTCCAAACCCACATTTGCGGCATCTGGCCACTCAAACAGGTTCAGTGTTTTTCCTTACAATAACTATCTTAGTAAATTAATCAGTTTCTAGTGCTTCTGGAAAAAACAGCTGTGTGTAATACTAATTACTGGATGTAATTTTGATAAATTACACTGTGTATCACATTTTTCTATAATTAGGTAATATTTTCTTCATGCAAAATACATTTGATACCGGGACTAACTCAAGCTGCTGCTGCTTAACTTTAAAGCCTTATATAGTTTAAGCCATAGTTAAATCTGGAAATAATCTTAACCATGGCCTCCAAAAGATCCTCAAGGAGATATAGGATACTGTTAAATAGTTAATTTATTCTGATAAACAGAGACCTACATGATGTCTTTTGAACTTCAACTATGAGTATAAACAATTCTGAGATAAAAATAAAAAGCATAAATAAAAGATAGATATAAGCCTTGCATATGATAAAATATATACATGTATGCACACTTTCATTTGACCACTTTTAAATCTATTCGTATCACTACTAGGAAGACTAGCACAATTATCAGATTCTTGTTACCATATGGGCTCTTTCCCAGTAAAATGCTAGATGAACTACTTGAACAAAACCATCTCAATAAATTACTTCCTCTGCACCTATTTAAAGCACAAAATTTTGCAGTCTGCTTCTTAAAGCCATTTTCCTTGCATAACCACTGAAGAACTTGGCTCCCTCTCTTTTGGTTACAGTTGCCTATGTTGCTAAAACCAAATTCCCTGTTCCCATGGCAGAGAAAAGGGGTTAGCAAGCTTTGCAATGACTTGAAACACCTTGGCCATTTAAGAATCTAGGAATATGTTTTAAAACAATTTTTTTGAAGAGCACATGTTTCAAATTCAATCTGAAAGTACAAAAAAGCAAAAGTTAAAAAGCAATTGAATAGCATTCTCCACAGTTTGTTTACAGAAGAACTTTTGGAAAGTTCCCTCGAATTCTGGGGGGTGGGGGAAGGTAAGAAGCAGTTACTCAGATGCCCTTTCTCCTTCTCTGTGCTAGACCCCAGGCCTAATTGCTATATTGTAGCCATATTCTGCAGACATAAAAACAGATTTCAAGCTGGGTGTATCACTTTGTACTTTGCATTAGTGTGAAGTAATAGGCAGTTAACTATGGAGGCCCAAGACATGGCTCAGTCCTTTCGGGCCCCTAAATGTTCTCGCTGCAGGAACCATGGCTATGTAGTCCCACTGAAGGGCCATGCAGGCCATTGTCGTTGGAAGCAGTGTGCATGTGAGAAATGTGCTCTCATAACTGAACGACAGAAAATCATGGCTGCGCAGAAGGCCTTGAAAAGACAGGGATCAGATTCACCACCCAAGGAAACATTGCCAGTTACTCCGTGCAGCCCCAGGGGGGCAACCACAGGTGGCAGTAGAAAGTGGTCGAGACTCAACACCCCAGAATCCCATGTTCATGGGCTTGATGTTCATGAAGAAGCCAAAGTGACTTCAGCAGATAGCCACAGTGCCAGAACAGGGACTAACCGGACATCACCCAAACCTGACTCTCCAACCTTCATAGATTTAGGTATGTGCACCTGCTTTGGACATTTATGTTCATGGCCATTGTTTTTATGTTGTGTATGGACTTCTCTGTTCTGCCCACCCTGGGCCCTAATTTAGGTATCTTCTTGTGCTGGTTTGGGGCAGGTGCTATTTGGGCTTGCTTTTTTCTGGAAATGTGGTGAATTTTGTTTTATGTAGTTTCCATATTCTGCTTGAGGATTTCGTAGCTGCAGTAATTCAATTTTGGAGGCTACTTGACCATGTTTCATTGTTGCAAAACCAGATTTATGCAGGTAGCATGTATGCAGGAGTTTAATGAGTTGCAGCAGGCAACGCACAGCACTTAATTGCTGTATAGCATCAAGACTAATAGAGAGGCTGGGCTTAAAATTAACTATATTATAGATAACGGACAGTATGTTTAGCAAAAGAAATGCCATTGCAAATAAACTGAGACGTTACTGCTAGCTTGGTTAGAATAGGATAGAATCCAGATTTATCATGCTTAAGGCAAAACCAACTGTACTCAATGACATGACAGGCATGACTAACTTAAACCCTCTTGATTTCAGTGAGGTTACTTTATGACTAAATTTGAACTCAATCCATATGGCAAAGAGGATAAAGTATGAAAAAAAAAAGAAAGCGACACGAGTCTGTGATTTCAGTGCTATCTTTCTTTGCAGTAAAAGTGATACTCATTCAAAATATAATTTGCAAATTATATAAAGCATCAGTGAATTTGGGCACAATTCAAATAAAATACACTTGAAATGTTTTGAAAATAATAAAAAAAATTCTACATAGAACTTTGTCAATGTTCCAGTTATGGTAGAGTTGTGTTTTAAAGTTTAAAGCCATGGAGGACAATCTCCAGTTTGTCTACCCAATTCAGCTGTGGAAGTACCCAATCTAGTTCATGGAGGATTGAGCACCTTTTATGTGCCCTGCCTTCCCAAGTACCCCTCTGGGAAAGAAATCGCCACGTTAGATGGCAAATCATAATAACAATTTCCATGATCAGAGATAGCAAAGATACTTTCGTTTGTACTGCTTATCCTTCCAATTAGTGGGAAAATGGTGCAAAAGAAACCCTTCTTTATCTCTGATCAGTTATTAGAGATAACATGAACATTCTGCTGTGCCACTTATCTATTCCTTGCAGGAGCAGCTCTTGCAAGCCCTCCCTTTCCACAGCATTTTGCCTTAATCTTTCAAATCTGAAGCAATATAATAAAATAGCATAATCTTTAAACTTATTAGAAATAAAAACGTTTTGAACTTATTAAATTTGACAAGAGGATAATTCCCACTATTGCCTTAAATCTACAAGATTTACAGTTTCTTTTAAATACCTCAAAGCATTTGCCACTTTGCAAAAATTATATTAATGCATTGCAAAAATTATATTGGAAGGCCTATATGTTTCCTAAAATTGCATTTTCAAAATCCTGCTTCAGTTCAAAAAACATTGTGGCTGTACCTCCATCCTGCTCTCAAACTCTTAAATTTTATCTATGTCTTGTGTTATCTATGATTGTGGTTTGCCATCTGCTGGTTTGATACTGTGCTAAGCACTATTAAGGTAGCCTGTAATTTATTTTAATAGTGTTATCTAACATTACACATTTAATGTTTCCTGAGTGTTAGATTTATTCCTTTGCACTTTACCTCCTAGCTAAAAGAATTGAATTGATTCTCCAACTCTGTATAAACCTGTGTGCTTGTATTCAAGTACATTATGTTGGGTTTTTTTTTAAATATACCACCCATTCATAGGTGCATCAGATTCAGAGGCAGGGGTAGTGTTGAACTTCGTTTCAATACCTCTTGATGCCAGTTTTTAGCACCTGCTAATTTGAGACCTGTCTTTTAGATAGGTACACAGTTGGGCATAGGAGCCATTTATCTATGACTAGGTTCAACCATGTTACCCAAGCATGTAAACAGGGACCCACTATGAGGGGCTTTCTGACAGAAGTGGAATCCCACTCCCAGAACTAATAAATGATTCAGTCAGTCAAGAAACAGGTCCATCCATCAGGGTGGGGAGGGAATCAAGCCAGCAATACTTAGAGTGATAGCAAGGCAATTGGTAGATTATTACATGCATAGACAGAACACCTTGGAACTGCAAAGTACACAATTAGAACAAAGCTTTTATAATTTACCTTGTCCTCTGAGAACTTTCTCATACGCCCCTCCCCTTCCTAAGGTTGGGATTTTTCTTCCCTCCTCTCATACTTTATCTAGAGATGACCCTTTGAAGATGCAGCTCAAACACTCATGCTTGGCCTGGCACCTTCTTGTTTTCTTTTATCTAGGAGCAAATTCTCCTACAGCTGCATGCACAGAAGTTTCTCATAAATCCTGAATTTGTCAGAACAAAGGAGACACCATCTCCTCCAAGTTGTCATTTAAGCATTCTCCTAATTGCACATAGTTGCTGATGGATAGTCCACCTTTCTGTGCAACTGAGGTGAAATGTAAGGGCACCTCATGAATATTTAAATATTAGAAGCACAATATTTTCAAGATACTAAACTATGTGGTGATCTTACAAATATTAGGAACTCAGGAAGCTGTCTTGTACTGAATCAGAATTAGTTCAGTTACAGCAGAATTGCTTATGCTGACCAGCAATAACCCTTCAGGGCTTCATATAATTTCTGGCATAAGCTCACAAAATGGTGTATTCTGTATTTTATTGTTTTTTGTTTTTTAAATAGACCATCCAACTTTGCCTCAAGAATGTGTTTCCGTGTGCCCAGAATTCGTGGACAGAGAGCCTCCCAAAGTGCATCCTGGGTATACTGGGGTGTACCCTTACCATCCATTTTCTGTGGGTTTCACCATCAACCAAGCAGGCTACAGAGGCCCACCACCTGGCCCTATTTTACCCCTGCAGCCAAGTCTGAGACACTTTCCTAGCAGTTATGGGCCAGGGAGTGTAACTTCTGTGCCAGTAAGTCATGTTTTCTCTATAGTATTGTTTAATCCAACTCTCCTTTGACTGCAGGAGCACATCTTGAAATGTATTGTGGCTGGTTAGTTCAGTGAAAGCCTTGAACCCTGCCCTCACAAAACAAAAAAAAGTCTTGTTTTAGGAATGTGAAACACATGTCCCTTTAGTTTTACAGAATTATCTACTTTTCTGACCTATACTCTTGATATCTATAAGACTTGAGGGAGTGTTTCAAATATTGCAAATTTACCAAATGTGGGTATAAAATGGAAGCAAATCAAAATGTGCATCTAAATATGTGTTATTCACTCTTTGAATGAATATGCATATCCAAATGCAGTTGCTGTCCTTTTTAGTTGTACACTTGGATAAAATGCCTATTTTAAATTTCTAGCTGTTTGGAGCAAGAGTCAGTACATTTTTCCACTTAAAATGGTTTTTTGCAACCAAGAGTACATTGGATGGAATCTGACAAAAGACTGTTGCAGGATAATTGACTTCACTAGAGGAACTAAATTACTTACTTCATAAGTTTAAAGTTAATGTACATGTTTAATCCTTTTCCTTGGGTACAGAACATCAGATATTCTAAATATGCCTGCACAAACTATTTTTAACATAATAGTTACAAATAGTTATATAATAGTAATAGTAATAATAATAGTTAAAAATAGTTAAAATAGTTAAAGAAGAATAAATGAGATAGTATCCATATATTTCATTCAAAGTCAGTATGTGTGGTTTCAAAGGGTATATATGTGCTTCAAAACAGTTTTCCATTGTAGCTTAATAGTAGCTTTGGGAAAATGGGATTTAATGGGGAAATGCCTTTCTGATTCTTCCCTGATTGCCCAGTACACAGCTAGCCTCAATGTTGACTGTACATTGAAGGATGTAATGTAAAATTTGAAAAAGCTGAACTTTCTCTGCTGAAGAGAGAGCTGACCTGATTTGCTATGCAATGCAGCAGTACAATAGATTATGTGACACATTGCCGATGTCACATAAACTCATGGAAATTGTTTAGGATGAGAGTGAACACATTAGCTTAGACTTCAGGGTAACAGCCTTCATGATCTATGATTGCTCAGTTTCCACTTAAATTTAACACCTGTGCTTTTATGCAGATACAAGATGTAGGTGGGGATTTTCAGCCAGGTTATTATACTACACTACCACCTTTTATACCTCGGGGGTTTCTACCAGGGATTCACTATATTCCACCACCACTTCAATTTAATGTTGTGGCTGAAGCTACAAAGGAGACATCTGGTAAGTATTCAGAATGTTTAGTAACACAAGTCTTATGCTGATGCTTGCAGTATACAAGCAGTGGGTTACTGAGATTGTATAAACTGACTGTCACCCATGGTGTACTTTTCTTTCCCACAACCCTGTTGGACAATTTTTGCACTAGATGTCATCTGTGTACAATGGCCTGCAACTGCAGAGGCAAATGTACATAGATGGATCAATAGGATCTAAAAACAAAAGTGTAGACATTATTTGCAAAGAACACTAACCTATGGTCTATTTAACCTATGCCTTGCTGAAATCCATTTATGATTATATGCAAATCCAGCTGCAATAATAAACAGTGTTTTTTAACCATGAACAACCCGGAAAGGACTCTTTGTAGAACATGCCAGGCCACTGTAGGTTATTTAACTCACAGTGAAGCTGCGTGTAGTTACTGTGCTGAATATGCAATCTTTGCTTGGGGATTGCCATTTTGTGCAAACCTGGCAGGCATAGGTTATGTGAGGGTTAAACAAGCATTAGATAACCTATAGTTTGTTTTCAGGTTATACATATGTCATAACATAGCTATGGTTGGAAAGTGGTAAAAAGTAGAGGAACTAGAGTGGTAAAAAACAAATCAGTCCCAGTTCTATAGTGTTGCAAAGGCTTTTGGGACTGAGAATGAGTGGGTGAAGGAGGAGGAAAATGGGGACTGGGAAAATTAGCCACAATTTGTTCAGTTGTCTGTCAGATGACTGCTTCAGTATCTAAATCGGAACTGGAAGAAGAGGTGGGATTGACATTCTTCACTGATGTGCCAATGCCCTCAGACAGCCAAGAGGCCAGTGAGAATCAAGACAGTGAGCAGGTTCACTCAACATGACAAGTCAAGCATTTTACCATTGTTGGTCTGTTGTGGCATTCAAATTCTGACATGGTATTTCAGTATGGTACATTTGGTCTTTAGAAAGTACAAACAAAAACAGTGGCCTTTTCTATCACTTCTCCCTACCATGATAGCATGTTGTGTCATTCAAGCTGGAAAAATTCAATGCATTGTAGAACAAAGACCAGAACAAGAAAGCTGCTTGGCAAGAACAGCCCTTGCTGATCTTGCCAAGCAGCTAGCCAGAGAACACCAGTGACAGCTGCCATTTCGCATGGCTGTCAGAGGTTTCCCTGCTTCATCAGACTGCTGCCCTAAAACCTTCTTTTGGGTAAGAGCAGGCAATCAGCTGGACAGCACTGTAGAAAGAAGCAGTATTGTTCGGCTGATTCCTTTATTGCCTCTCTATATGCCCCCGAGGGAAGCAGAAGGAACAAAAATCCTGTGTGTACCTTAGCTGATTCTCCTGCTTGCGCCTTTCTCACTGCTGTTTGTGAGGGAAGCATCCCCAACTAGGCACCCATCAGAGTGTCTTTCTCATAAACTGCAGGCATGAGGGGCAGACGACACTCACCCCTCTTTCTCACACCCATTCACAAGATAGGTGTTCCCAACACTGGTTCCAGTGTAGAGAAAACTTGTTTCACAATTGGGAGTGAGAATTGTGGGGTGGGGCAGTGGATGAATCAACTGAGTGGTACTGCCACCCACCTGATGCTCACCTCCCCCTATGCAAGTTGGGACGTAATTGTTCCTTTCCACAGTGCCAGTCAACTGGCTTCCCCCACTTTTGCTTGAGTGTGGATCTGGCACTCCCCCTCCTGCCTGAGTGGTCCCCTCTGGGGCAGGTGTGGATGCTTTGACGTGCCAGCTGTGCTTCAGGGCATGAGACCTGTTTGTGCAGCTGAAACTGCCTGACAGCTGTGGGGAGTTGAACTCCGATTGTGGTTATCAAAAAGAGGAGGACTGAGAGTGAATGAGATCATGGGAGGGAGGAGACTTAACAGAATGAGCATGATGGTCAGGCACATCAAAGTACAAAGCTGAACCATGGTAACCATGCAGGATTGCTTATTTTGATGTGTGAATCCAGCCAACATTTAGTTCTGTGGAAAACACCATTAAACAGGCAGTCAAATGGGGGCAGACGTCACATGAAAAATCCCATAATCAGGCATCAGATCAAAAGGGCAGATCAGCTGAATAGCATCTGATGGTACCACCATCTGGCCTACAAGCAGCTTCATCATCCTGAAGGTTGGGGTAACTCCTTTTGATCAGGAAGTGAAGAGAAGGATGTGTTTTGGAACCAACTTCTTAGTATTAAGCCATATTCCCCTTAAAGTTAGTCTTCTAAATTTGCAGATGCCTTTTGTTAATAACCTCCACACTTGTGCATCTCAAAGCCAGCCTAGTTGGCCAGTCAATGTAATAATGACTGTGGTTAAAAGCTTTCTGTTCTGACCTGCTTAGAAAGCAGCGGGTGGGGTTTGAACTGGCTTCTGACATATAGCTTAAATAAACTGTGGGTTAATTTTATGTACAAACCAGGTTATAGACTGTGTAATTCAGGTCTACATCTGTTGTTTTCTGTGTGCATTCCTATTATCTGTTCAGAGTATTCCAACAGCATACATGCTTAACCATGGTCTCTGTGCTTTCAGGGAAAAAACCCTGCTTGAAACCCTAGACAGCTACTACTATGGGATCTGGTCACATAACATGGTTAATTTACCCACAAGCTGCTGTGGCATGTGCTATCAGACATTACGAATATGTAGTCCCTGAGTAGAGGCTGCTGTAGCTGGTCCTTTGTTTAACCCTGCTTTTGGAGGAGGGCGTTATTCAGGAGTTAATCAAAGAAACCAGAGTTTTGACAACTAGGTGTCAAACGTCTACACCTCCATAAAGGGGGGTATGTCACAGTTTTGCAGTCTCCTAAGCACCTAGATTCCTGGGAAAAGTGTGAGAGGATTCTCAAAAGGAGCCTGGGCCCTGCCCTGCCCCAAAGCTCTTGAGGATCTCATCCTGAAGGAGATGATCCAGTGGCTATCCTGCTTTGTGAACAAAGGTAACTCAGCTTTGGTTTCTTTTGACAGCTCACCTTTTCACAGCTATCAGGAGGAAACAAACTCAAAAATAAACTTCTTGGCAACTTTTGTGGGTCAGTGCTTGTGAGGGGTGCCAGCTGCACTTTACTAGCAGACACCAGACACCCTGCAAATGTGTGCAAGTGCACACTTGCATAAATCCAATTAAACATTTATTTATTTATTTATTTATTTAAATAACTTATATGCCGCCCCATCGCATGAGCCTCAGGGTGGCTTACAATCATTAAAATTGCATACAAAATAGAAAAAATTCATACATAAATGAATACAAAAAATAAAATAGAATAGAATAGTGGATCCAGCCTGGTCAAATAAACCATTAACAGTTAAAATAGCGTTTAAATAAAAAGGTTTTGGCTTGGCGCTGAAAAACAAATAAGGACGGTGCCAGGTGGACCTCTCTGGGGAGCGCATTCCATAGGTTGGGTGCCACCGCAGAGAAAGCCCTCCTCCGTGTACTCATCTTCCGAATGTCCTTCACGGAGGGTTCCCGGAGGAGGGCCTCTGCCGCCGATCTCGGGGTGGGAGGGCATATATGGACATAGGCGCTCCTTTAGGTAACCAGGATCTAAGCCGTTTAGGTCTTTGTAGGTGATAACCAGCACCTTGAATTGGGCCCAGACTTCAATGGGGAGCCAGTGAAACTGACAGAGGACTGGGGTTATATGAGAACAACACCCAGTCCCCATTAGCAGCCTGGCAGCTCTATTTTGTACCAATTGAAGTATCTGGACCATCTTCAAGGGCAGCCCTACATAGAGCATGTTACAGAAGTCTAATCGGGAAGTGACCAGTGCATGTGTCACTGTTGCCAGGCAGTCGTTCTCCAGGTAGGGACGCAGCTGATGGATCAGCCAAAGCTAAAGGAAAGCGCTCCTTGCCACCACTGGCACTTGAGCTTCCAATGATAGCTCTGGGTCGAGGAGCACTCCCAAGCTGCGGACCCTGTCCTTAAGAGGGAGTGCAACCCCGTTCAGGTCAAGGTCAAAGTCCCCATCCCAGAGCCCGATCCACCTACCAACAGGACCTCCGTCTTGTCTGGATTGAGCTTCAGTTTATTGGCCCTCATCCAGCCCATTACCTTGGCCAGGTACCAGTTCAGTACAGCCACTGCCTCACCTGGATTGGTAGAGAACAAGAGGTAGAGCTGGGTATCATCAGTGTACTGATGATTCCGCAGCCCACACCTCCTGATGACCTCTCCCAGCGGTTTCATGTAGATGTTAAATAGCATGGGGGACAAGATGGAACCCTGCGGAACTCCATGGCATAGATGCCATGGTGCAGAGCTATAGTCCCCCAGCACCACCACCTGGAATCGGCCATTGAGATAGGAGCGGAACCACTGCAAAGCAGTGCCTCCGACCCCCAATCCCGCTAGCCTATCCAGAAGGATACCATGGTCGATGGTATCGAAAGCCGCTGAGAGGTCCAGAAGAACCAACAGGGACGTACTCCTCCTGTCCCTCTCCCTGCACAGGTCATCATACAGGGTGACCAAGGCAGATTCAGTCCCATACCCAGGTCTGAAGCCGGACTGAAATGGGTCCAGATAATCAGTTTCCTCCAAGAGTGCTTGGAGTTGTTCCGCCACCACCCGCTGTAACACCTTGCCCAGAAACAGGATGTTGGCCACCGGTCTATAATTGGTGGCTACCTCTGGATCCAGGGATGCCTTCTTCAGGACAGGCCGGACTACCTCCTCCTTTAAAGGGGCAGGTACCCGGCCATCCCTTAGAGAGGTGTTGACAACCTCCAGGATCCAGGGCCCTATCCCATCCTTGGCTGTCTTGAGTAGCCAAGATGGGCAAGGGTCCAATAAGCAGGTGGTGGAACGTACTTGTCCAAGCACCTTGTCCACATCATCAGGTTGCAATAACTGAAATTCATCCATCAATTGTGAACCAGACGGCAACATTGGCCCCTCCCCTGAAGGCTCTGAGTCACTAGTGGAGTCCAGCTCGTGACGAATCTGAGCGATTTTCTCCGAAAATGCTTGGCAAAGTCGTCACAGTGGGCCATCGAGGGTGGTACCAGGTCTTTCTTAGGGCCTGGGTGAACCGGCCCTTGTACCACCCGAAAGAGCTCCGCCGGACGGCATTGTGAGGAGGCAATGGACGCGGAGAAAAATTTCTTTTTTGCCGCCCTCACCGCCACAGCATAGGCCCGATAATGGGCTCTTAAGTGTGTTTGGTCAGATTCATCCCGTGATTTCCTCCACCTATGCTCTAGCTGTCTCCCAACCCACTTCATTGCCCGTAATTCAGGTGTATACCAAGGGGATGAACGGGCCCTGCCCGGCGGGAGAGGATGCTTAGGAGCGATCATGTCAATAGCCCTGGTCATTTCCCCGTTCCACAGTTCGACCAGAGCTTCGACAGGAGTGCCAGCCTTGTCAACTGGAAATTCCCCCAGGGCCTTCAGGAAACCATCTGGATCCATCCAGCTCCGGGGGTGGACCAGCACAATTGCGTCCACACCCTTACAGAGGGAAAGGCCGCTCTCGAGCTCAAACCTCACGAGGAAGTGGTCTGACCATGACAGGGGAGTCAGACCTAAATTCCTCACCCTCAGATCACCCTCTTCCTGTCCCATTGGGAAAACCAGGTCCAGAGTGTGTCCACGTTCATGGGTTGGGCCAGTGAGATGTTGAGACAGCCCCATGGCCATCATGGAGCCCATGAAGTCCTGAGCCGCCCCGGTCAGATCCATCTCGACATGGAGATTGAAGTCCCCCAGGACCAACATCCTGGGGGTCTTCAACACCAGGTCTGAGACGATCTCTGTCAGCTCAGGCAGGGAGACTGTTGGGCAGAAGGGTGCACAGTATACCAACAGAATCCTCAATCTGTCTCGACACCCAGCACCAAGTAGAGGCACTCTAAACCCGGCCTCGAGAGAACAGGAAGCCCCATGAGGGAGATGGAAGCTTGGTAAACCAAAGTGACCCCCCTCCCCTCCCCTCAAGGCGTGGTCAGTGCTGGACCAGATACCTGGGCGGGCACAGTTGAGAGAGGGACACATCCCCCTCCTCACCCGCCCAGGTCTCGGTTATGCAAGCCAGGTTGGCTCCCTCATCCACAATCAAGTCGTGGATGAGGGATGACTTATTATGGACCGACCTGGCATTGAGCAACAGCACCATCAGGCCCGAGGGGCAGTTGACAAGCCTACCCGGAACCCTCTGGCTGGGGGAGTAACCAGAAGGGGGGACAGGTGTCAACCATCTATCCCACCTTCTTCTACGCGGACCTGTTAGACCCCCCAATGCCATAACGTCCATTGCCCAGGAGCACCCCAGTGGTGGCATCCATATCCTCCCCAGGTGCAACCAGGTCTGGATCCATAAAATACACAGAATAAAATCACCTAAAACAAAACCACTAAAAACCCACAGCCGCCCGACATACAGTTTTAGGAAGCCCACCCCCAAAATTCCAGGCCAGCCGAGCCCCCACACGGCCCCAAACGGTGTCACTTGGGCTGACGCCTTTCGGCCGCCGGCCATGGCCTGTGGGTTAAAGCCTGCGGCTCCTTCTCCTCCGCACCCTGCGCCTGAGTGGCACAGCTCTCACCTGCGCCGGGGGGTGTGTGGAGCAGGGCGCGCCGAGCGCGTGCCAGCCAGGTGGCGCATGCCGGCCAGGCAGGTCATCCTGGGCGGTGGGGGTGGGCAGTCCGTCCCAGTCTGTCTCTCCATAATAATAATAATAGTAATAATACTGCAAGATGATGTTCAGATCTGAGACACTGACAATGGTGTAATTAACCAGTTGTAGCCTCTCCAACGTGTTTCTTTGGCACGTTAAAGTGGCTATCACTGGCTGTTGTGAAATGTGGGCACATACAATATAAGGAGGCTTCCCCTCAATCCTATGTGCCTTAGAACCACATTACCACTATCTCAAAACTTGTTCATATGTACTTTATCAATCTTCCCTCCCTAACTCATATTTTATTTATTTATTTATGTATTAAAACATTTTTATGCCGCCCCATTTGCCGAAGCCTCGGGGCGGCTTACAACAATAGATTAAAACATCATAAATAACATTTTAAAATATATACATTAAAATAAAATACAAATATACAATATAAGCCACCCTGGCCAGATAAAATTCAATAATATTAACATTTAAAATGCTGCTTAAAAAGGTCTTCGCCTGGCGCCGAAAAACAAATAACAACGGCACCAGGCGGACCTCTCTGGGGAGCGCATTCCATAACTTAGGTGCCACCGCTGAGAAAGCCCTCCTCCGAGTAGCCACCCTCCTAACTTCTTTCACGGAGGGCTCCCGGAGAAGGGCCTCTCCCGCCGATCTCAGGGGGCGGCTGGGCATATATGGATGTAAGCGCTCCTAATATTCCAGTATTACCAGCATTCTTTTCATGTCATTTTTGGCTAGAATCATCTTAGATGTTCTCTGCCTTCTGAAATATAATTTAACTCCTATCTGTTTGCCATTTAGAATCATGGGAGACTATAATTGCTTTCCAAGTTCTGTAAAGTCAAGGAAAAAGAAAAAATGCACCAAAAATGTATGTAGGCCTTGCATTTTACCTTTATGATTCACCGCTTCAGCACAGTGTAAGAAAAAAACAAAGCTCTGTGTTTACCTTTGCCTAGCTTGTGACCATGATACAGAAACACATTCAACGTTTTAAATATGCATCACCTAGAGGGAGTTAAACATTTTAGCCTAGAAGCAAGTGACAGGTTTTATAGTATCCCCTTTCCCTGTTCCACTCCTACTTGAGCAATCAGAGTGAAAATTTATGTAGACGTAACACTCAAGATAGTGCTCCTCCTCTCATTAGTCCTTGTTCCCCATTAAAAAAGGTTCTATGCTGAAAAGTTAGCTCATCAAGTAACAGGTTAGACTTAAATTAGTCAGGTATGGGAAATATTGCCTTTTTATGTAGGGAAATAGCCATGAGAATGTGACCTATGTACAGTTTCTGAGGCTGTACACTCTAAAAAGGGATATACCATAAGCTGTTGATGTCCCTAGTTAGGTTGCCTGAAAATTGAAAAACTGTTTGTTTTATAGTACAGTTTGTCTCAGACAGGGAAAGTATGTTTTGCCAAAGCCACTCCTCTCAAGATGGTAATAACTTCTTGTTTTATTGAAGCACTGCATATGTATGTTCTTCCTCTGTAGATAAGATATGCTCTTGTCTAAGTATGCACCAGGGCATTGTCTGCTGTTTGTGATTGTAGATCACCAACATGCTTCTGCTATTAGTAACAGATTTTCATAATTTAGGCATTAAATCAACTCCACTAGAGAAAGTGCATGTAGTACATCCATGTGTGTATACATTGTATGTAAATTTGAAGAATACTACCATCTCTAGAACACATACAACTAATTGCTGATTAACCCCAGAGGGAAGCAGTTTTTCTATGGGAAAAATAGCTGAATAAATGGAAAGAGCAGTCCTTGGTTTCAAGGAACAAAGCCAACAACCTTTATATTCTGTCCTCTGGCTTGCTTTAGTGCCTCTCCTTCTAAAAGTGCATTTTTTATATGGTGAGAATGTGAGAAATTGAACTTTTTTTGTCCAGTTTTCTATTTAGACATCCACCAATGACTATTCAAAAATAATTGCAAAACTTTTTAGTTGCTGATTTTAAATTCATTCTTACACACTTTCTGAAACTATACAGTTTGTATAAGGTTATAGTTGTCTATTTGCAATGTTAATGAGAGGATGGTCCTATTTAAGATACAGTGTACAAACTAGAAATATATGAGCTATCCTAAGTGTAGGGAAAAGACTTCTTTGTCTTTATTTATACAATTAAAGTTTAAAAAACTGTAAAGAGAGCAAAAGAGATTCCTTAGTATCTTTACAAAGTGCAAAACAATGAAATACTTTAGATAAACTGAAATTATGAACTCGTTTTCTATTTCAGCTGCCACAGCAGATAACCAGAATTCTCCAGTGATGTGTGAAGATAGTCAGCTTTCCTCTAAGGAAGATACCAGTGGAAACTGCTCTTCATATTCTAAACTTTAACAATTCATGTTGAAATGTTACTTTCCAGGGGTGGCTTCTTCATAATGTTTTTTGGGGGCTATACTGCCACTAATTCTTGCAGTTACATAGATTTAGAAGCTAAAAGCATTCATATCATTATGTATTATGACATTATAACATACAGTATCTTGACTCCTATCTACATAAAATTCTGCTCAAAGATTGATGCCTTAGTGCTAAAATGGAAGCTCATAAAGAAGCACTGCCTGCACTAATCCTTTCACAGATTTCTGACAGCCTGTCAGGGGGCTGATGCAGGTCAAAGTGAAGACTCATGCAGAGGATGACATGTGCTCAAAAAGAATATCCAGTCCCCAGATGAAACACACCTCAACACTTATTTCCAACTTATAGTTTTGAAGGCAAACTTTCTAGCCATCCATACTTGTAAACTTTTATTACTTGCATCTGTCCTGTGTCAGAACAGCTGTTTGCAGTGTAATTTTTATCAGGTGATAAAGCTTTTCTCCATGCCATGAAAAGCTTTGTTTACCAATTCTTCCATGCTATTTACTATTAAAATCCCAGGAACATTCTGTTTCTTTTGTGTTAAGCTGACAACTCTGTCCATTTCTACAATTGCACCAGTTTCTTAATTTCAAACATTAGTAGAAGATCTATTTGTTGGTGGGATCAGAGATTCTGAACGTCTATTGAGATTGAATTTACACACATTTACAGTTATATAGCAGACAGGCATCAACAGAAAGTAATCTCCTTTAAATTGTGGAACAATTATGGGGAAGCTACATCAGTTACATTTCAAGTTCTGCACCTGTTAATGGCATGGAACGTAAACAGAATTGTGATTCCTATGAACCATCAGTTGAGACTCATTTGGGACAGCAGAATTGATAGGTGGCCATGCTTAACGTTTGCATGTGTGTTTAGTGTTAGACATGCTTCCTAAAAAAAGTTAGATCTATATAGTGAGGAATATTATGTATATAAATTCCATACTACTAGCAAAAGCTGTTTTCTGAAGAAAAAATGCTTCAGTAGGGGGCTCTGTTTTAAGTGGAGAAGCAGTGTGTGGAGTGGGTGAATTAAAAAAAAACATTTAAGTTGTCTGCTCACACAATTTTCACAAGCTTCTTCCTAATCTCAAAGAATTCCAAGGTATGAAACCCCATTGTGGAACAGGGAAAGCAGCTGAGGTGATTATTTTGAGCAGAAAAGTATTACACCTGTCCTACTGATTCTGTATTGCCTCTGCATCCATTTGCCTTAAGAAGTTTCACAGTTTTAAGTAACACATAATAGCAGATGGTCATACCTGTTCAGGAGGCTCTCAAATGCAGTGTTACTACTAGCTGCTAATGCCTTTTGCCCAGGCTTGATATCATAGCTTGATAATAGATAGGGGCTGAGCAAAAGCAGAGACAACCTCTAGAAGGCAGCAACCAAATGCACTGATCAGTTACTGGTTGTTTACTTGTGAGAAATGTAACATCTCAGTGTTATTGTTCTTACCAAATATAAAAAGCATGTAAATTTTCTAATAATCCAGGTCAGTATTTGTATAAGGATGAAAAATAGCATTGTACTTGTTTTCTGTTGTAAAGAGACCTGTTCTAATGATAAATACACATTGTAATGAAAACTATTAAAGTACTGATGGCACTCACATGTTTTGAAGTTTCACATTTTTTTGTTCTGCAGATTTCAGGTATGTTACTGTTAGGTAGGGTAGCTAACATGAATACCAACAGCTAAAAATAATTACTATTGCAGTTGTTGAAGAAAGAACAGAAAATGTAAAGTATTACAAGGAGGGATAAAACTGACCACCAGCCTCACATCTTAATCAACAGAAAGGTTAGCTGAATAGCCTTACTTGAAAAAGACTGGAGAATGCCCAAAGAAACAGGCTCATTTCACCATATCACTGTGTGGCTGAGACTAGGTCTTTTGTGATTCAGCATGGACAAGTAAGTATGATTCCGAAAACTTTGGAGCCTGCCCATTAAGATGGAGGTGCTCTTGTGTAAATTGAAATGAAAGAGCCCTGCTGTTGAGTTCTAGTAGATTATAAGCATGAAGAGAGCATTTTGGACAGAAGACTAAACTAAAATAACCTTAAAATGTTTATTATTTTAAAATCAGAATTTCAAAACATGCAAGATTTCTAGATCCTGAATGGCAGAAAAGTAAGATGATTTACTGACTCGGAACATGTTTTTTCTTTCCATTTTTTGTTACATCCCCTGTGATAAAAAGATGTGGAGGCATGTGGTGACAGCATATAAAAGTTTTAAATAAAAGGTTACACATTTTTTTGAAATCTTTTGGTTGTCCTAATTGTGTGTAATTTTGAATTCTGCTTTTATACTGGAAGTAAAGATTCTGGGCTTTGTGTTTTTAAATTAAAATAACTTTTAAAGACAAAATTGCCTTTTAAACCTGTTCTTTCAGTCTCCAAGTACGTTTTTCTTACTGATAAAAGGGCTTATCTGGTTTAACTCCTGTAATCCAGCATGAATATCTTGCTAGAGAGGCGGGGTGGAAATAATATACGGTATCCTTTGAACTAGATTTCTGACTGACAAAATAGCTTTTCAAATTGGAATCTACTTAGTCGGAATCAATTCTCTAAGCTTTGCATATCATGGAATGCTGAACCTGAAACGTACTTAACAGAATTTAATTGGGGAGGGGGGCATGAGAGATGCATAAGTGACGTCACTCAAAACCTAAGACGGACCAACGCCGTCATTAAAAAGTTGCTAACAAACAGAACAGGAAAGGCTGCGGTCTGGGATTGCTACAGTGGCGGAGGCGTCCGCCGCACCGGCGCCTTCAATCTGCAGGTGGGATTCGCACAGGAGAGGTGACTAGCCGGGACTTCGCCGTGCGCTTCATAGGCAAGATAACGGAGGACGCGGCGGCGAGAGCAGCAGCAAGCCGCCACGCCTGCCCGAATGCGCGCGCTGCAGGAGCCGCCGCGGCGCGGCTTCCAGCCTCGGGGCCCACGCGGGTGTGCAGCTAGCGAGAATGCACGTTTCCCGCGGCCTCAGTGGCCCTGGAGGGTGAGCGAGTCACGGCTGCGCCGCGGCAGCTGAAACAAGCGGTCGCCGCACTGTGAGGGCAGAGGAGGGGAAGTGGGAGAAGGCCGCCACAGAAAAATCTCCCTTCTCCCGCCTGGCGCTTAATAATAGATGACAGGTGGAAATTCAACCGGTGAGAGCCTCCTACCATTGCCTTCCTACGCTCGGCTTTTTCCGTTAATGCACGTGGTGTCGCAGTGAAAAATTTCAAGAAGTTCCAAAAGTTATGCGAGGAGTGCAAGTGGGAGAGTGATTTAGGGTAGTTCAGGGAACCATCAAGGCTGCAGTGGTTATTTTGTATAGGGCTACGGTATTCTAGGTCTGCTTGTAAGATAGCTGCATTTTTAAAAGGCACCCTTCCTCCGTGAATAAAACTTTTCTGTAGTTTGCAATGATGAGGATATATTCACTGCTGAAGTAACCCTGTAGTTTGGTTGTTAAAATAATTATAGAAACGTGTGCTTTGGATTATGATATGGAAGGGGTATGGAGAGGCTGCTTCTTTGCTTCCCCAAATTTTTGGGCCTGTTTAAATGGGACAAGAAGCATTTTCAGAATGAACGATAAAGCATGTGCTTCATAAGTGTGCAAACAGCGGAGCAGAAAAGACTAGAGCTGGAAACTGGCTTTGAGTACTGCAATGTGAGGAAAGTACCTTCCATCCTATCTTCAAAAGAGCTTCCCATGAGAAAATGGCTTGTTGGATAGGAAGTGTTCATGTATATCTTACCCAGTGAAATTTCTTTGCGTGTAGATTCTGTCAGAAAAGTTAAAACTCTTTGTGGGGTGGGGGGGACCAGGGAGGAGGCAAAATGTAAATACTGCTATCTTTCTGTTAATTTGCAGAGCCTGGTTGCTAATGTGACTTGGTGTAGGTGACTGTATGTATTATGATAATTGCTAACTGTTGGTAAAATTCCCCCTTTAAAGACAGCAAACACACATTTTTGAAGAGAGGAAAAAAACATCTTTTAAAATGAGTAATTGAAAAAATCTCTCTCTCTCTATACACACACACACACACACACACACGAAATGCATCTTGAAACCTAGTTTTCTTTGGAGCCAGATTATTTTTGTCCAAAATAACTTGAATATTATTAGTACCATTTTAAGTTGTAAATGAAGAGTAGCTGTGATGTGAATTACCCTGTTTCCTCATTTGTGTCTGCATCAGGAATGATGAATGCTTAGCTTCTGGTCAGAGATTAAACTTTCACTGTAAATCCAAGAATACCAGCAATATGTTGGCTAGGAGCAAACAAGGTCAGTGTCTGTATTTGGGAATAACATTGGGAATAAACTGAGTACCATGTTTGCTTCTAATTTCTTTTATTGGAAAACAATGGTATATATGCCCATAATTTGTTGCTATAGCTGTATATGGACTTCTATTATATATCCTTGACACTCTCTAAAGAATGGTTATATTTATATAATGTTCTTGTTTCACCAGCCCTGTATGAATGATGATTGTTGCTGTTTTAAAAATAATTTTGGAAATGTTGTTTTTGAAATGCTCTTGCTGTGGAATTGGCTAATTTAACAACAGAAACAACAAAATATGAAGCTGATATTAATCAAGAAAAGTCAACTTCTTTATTTAAGTAGTTGGAAAGATTTTGTAAAAAAATCTAAAAGGAATAAAGCCACACTTTAAGTTAAGATCACCTTGTGCAGACACTTCTCCATCCTTCTACAGCTCAGTCCTATCTGCTGAAAAGTAAGTGATGGGGTTCAATGTGTTCACTAGAGCTTACTTCAAAAGACAAAAATATGTTCCAGATTCAAAGTACTTTATTTTCACTGAAGTACCTTTTGGAAACAGTTCTTCAGCTGTGTCACACTATCTGCATAAAATGATTTCTGTTTAACTTGAAGGGTAATCTCCATCTCACCCATTTTTTTAATTCTAAAAGGGCTATGTGACAA